GAGGCTGGACTGAGGGCTTGTGTGTTCCTGATGTGACTCGGGCAGTTGTTGTGGCCATCCTGTACCTGTCACGCAGGTGTGATATTCGGATGTACCGATCCTGTGCAGGTGTTGTTATACGTAATTGATTATGGTTAATTGAACATGCATGGAAAACATTGTTTAAACCCTTTACAATGAAGATCTGTAAAGTTATTTGGATTTTTACAACATTTTTGTTGAAATACACAGTCCTGAAAAAGGGACGTTTCTTTTTTTGCTGAGTATATATATATATATATATCTCAGAATGTTACTTTGCAGCTGTAACTTGAGGAATTTTGTATTGTCTAATAAAACTAAAAAGATGGAAGATGGTTTCGTACTGAGAAATAAGTTAAAATTTAGGTTGACTTGGGTGAGGTTCTAGCAGAGAGGGTATTTATTTTATAATGTACCAAGAAAATACATCCCATGTATAAAACCTTATATTATGCAGGATTTCATGGGTATAATATCTAGTATGATGTAACCTGTCAGTATATCTATGATATATTTGACAATTGAAGAGTAAATTTCCAAAACTCACTTTTTTGTTTTGATTTTAATATGAGAATGCCAGTGATCAAAAGCCAGGCTTCCTCATTCTATATTATAACACTGGGAACAAAACTCACTCAGTTCACAGAAATTTTCTCAAAAACATATCCTGTGGACTGAGTAAGTTTTGAAAATTTGTTCTTCAATTTTGTCAATTATATGAATGTCATTAAATTAATATATGAATGGTATAGGTCTACATTACCTCTGCACTATCAATACTGTGGTTCAAAATGTGTTCCATTGTAACATTTCTGCACCAAAAATAAATACATGCTTGTATGTCATGAATTAATAGAAATGTAAATAGACAGCTACCAGAGTGGTGACAGACTAGCCACCACTATCACACGGACCAGCAGGGTGATTGGCAGGTATAAAATATATGATCAGATGATGGAGATGCCACACTCCAATGGCAAATGTAAAGGGAACAGGCCAGTTCGCTGAAATGGGAATCTAGTGGGCCATATGGAAGGACCTGCTGTGCTGTGATATCCTGAAAATAGTATTTGACGCCACATGAATGTACCGCCACCAAGTACATAGCCAAGTGGAACTAGCCTTTCTCCATCATTGTTGAAAGGCCAGGTAACCTCATTTGGGGTGGTTATATGTATATTTATAATTGTCTACGCAATACCATTGACAACTAATTAAAACAAAGCTTTACATCAGTTTTACTGAATTCTGTTTTTGCTCAACAGATTTATGTGCAAGTACACAAGTGATTACACAAATTAGAATTTGCTTTATATACTTTTAGATTATCTATCTATCTATCTATCTATCTACATACATACATACACTCACTAGATTGTACTATAGGGAAGTCTTTCTACTTGTAGCAAAACAACAGCATTATTTATTAGTATTTTTAAGTGAAATAAAACTAGATACTGTTTGAAAAACAACAATGTACTAATCTAATCCGTACTATTTCACAATCTCGAAAACCTCTACAATCTCTGCACCATCTCCTCACCTCTCCCCACCTGTGCTGTCATGTGCCACCACTATGAGGTGCTGCTTCAATTTTCATGCAGCTTGCCTCATAATGAAAACATACAAATCTTCATCTAGTCTTTCTGTACAATTGTAAAAAGATCCATGAAACATTTTTGATATATCACATGCACAAACATCACAAAGCAGCGTTGCTTCTATTTGTTTCAAAATATATATTCCAAATCATCACCTATATAGTTCCTGGGAAGTTTGAAAAAGATCCATCATATGCATTTAGAGGTATTGTGTTCACAACATCACATGTCTTCTGCAGTTGCCCTTTACTTCCTTTGCTGCCACCTGGTGCTGCTGCCTTATTTTTAGTGTGGCTTGTCTAAAAATGAAACCAGGTGCAGATCTTCATCCATATAATATTTTTATTTTTTATATGGTAATAGAGCCATCAGATACTTCTTGGGTTATTACATTCACAAGGTTATATCTTATGCAGTCACCCTAACCTTTGCTGCCACTAATCAGCATTGCTTCCATTTTCAATATGTCAAATACTGTTTGAATTAAGAAATGATGGATAATGATAGAGACTTCATG